GCCACAGGCACCGAAGCCCAAAGGAAACACTACACAAATACGCTAACCAACCATATAAGAGCTACGATCCGATAAATTAGGAGGCCAAAAGAGAAAAACCCTTGCCAGCAAGGATTGTACAAAGTGCCCATATCCTATGATGATAGGGACTTCTTTGTACAAAGGAACAAACCAGCAACCAAGCAAGCACCATTACAACAGTCCAAGAAACTATCCCTACGGACAACCCGGTAGGGATGCGGCGATCAACACACCCAACACGGCCTCCACCTAACCACAAACCCGTAGGGATAGGCACCTGTAACAAATAAATTGTAAATAAAAAAAATTGTAGAACTCAAGCAAAGCCAGAAGATGATCTGTTACAATGAGGGCTAGCCATAAGCCTTACCGAATTGCTCAAAAAAATCTTGTTTCACACAAGATATCCCAAAACACATGAAACCCTCCATAACATAATAAAAATAAATTAAAGACCAGTTCTTGATTTGCTCTCAATTTTGTAGCCATAGCAAGGGCGCTTGAAGCAGCCATCACTAATCGGTACATTACAACCTCTGCCAACGAGCCATCCAAAATCTGAACTAGCTAATGCAGCGCCACTCACACTCCTTTACACGAGCAGGAGAGAAGTAAAAGAAATGAAAGATAGCATAAACCCACTGAATGCTAAGCAAGCGCGTGACTAGGCAGCCATCACCTGAAGGGTAATATTCCACACACAGCTACGTCTCAACGCCTGCTCAAAGTAGTTGCGCTGAGTAATTGCACCACTCTTACACACGACCACTCAGCATCCAAATATCCCGCGATCACAGCTAGACTAGTTGGCTGCGCGTGACCCATCAAAATTTTAGTAACCCAGCTGGCACAATACATTTCTAGCAGCCCATAGTTCCAAATCCAATAGCCAATACCGGAAGGAATAAATTGTCCAGGCGCAATCCCACTTCAAGTTGCATGACTTAACATGTAGCAGAATATAGATAGAGAGGAATATTCCCAAATATCGAAATGTTATAGAAGTCAGTTACAGAGAGAAGATACAATACATTCCATTACCATACAATTATACGGACACTCCCTCTCACTCTGACCGACAATAAAAGAGACACTATCACTCTCAGCAATGTAAGGGCTCCCATCACTCGGGCCCAACATTTTCCGTGCTCTCTCTGGTCGCAGCGCAGCTGGACAATTGAACTTAGAGATAACGTTAACACCTGTCCCAGTCACATAAATATTTCTTGATAATTACTATATGATACAGTTAGATAAAAGAAAATATTACTGTCTTGCCTCCCGACACTCAAACCCCACATTTCACACGAGATAATTGAACTGTGATTGGCTACATTCATCCATCAAACTTCACTCCCTTCATAGGCTCTCCAGATTTTGTGAATATTGGGATCGTCCAATAATAGACTGATTCGAATCTGAAGCAATTAAAACACATCTGGCAGACAGCACAAAGTAAATTAGAAACACTCCTTATCTGTGCCTCACCATCGACTCAACCTCAAATGTAGGGACAGAACTCGACGGCACTCTCGAATTCCTTTCAAGGCAACAAGTTTTGCTCTCAGCGCAGTTTGGGACGCTGTCTCGGCATTTGTAGAAGGGAATGTTCTCATGTGTCTCCAGATTACCAATGCTTGTCACCATGCAAATTAAGAGCTTTCACATGTGCTTCGCAAGGACAAGAGTCTACCCCTAACCTCTTGAGGATGATAGAGTTAGTAACAACCTTCTCAGGTTTGAAGACCCTTACCTAAAGAATCTCTAATTTCTCATCCATCCATAATACTGGATAGACCAGAGCAGAGAAAGAGAGTTTCATAAAATCATAGATTTCAGAGATTACCATAAATGGATTTGTAACCCAAGACTCAACAAGTTCCAGCCAGGGCCACAAGCGAGGCCCCAGGATGGGGAAATTACCCACTAGCTGTGCGCAATTAATAACAGCCCAAAATCCCCTGAGTCCGGAAGTAGTGAGTCGCCCTAAAGAGACAGATGGTGAATGGTTTTCGATCTCTAGACGAGACCATACATATACAGGGCAAGGCTCAGGGTCTTGCCGGGTAAGAAGACGCTCAAAGAATTTGGAGTCGGATCCTCCAAGGTGTTTAAGGTCATCTGCATGTAGATAGCAGCCATTACACATGAAAACTAACCCTGAGGAGATAAGCGGAGGACCCCACAAGATTAGGACCAAGTTAACCTTGTTGCGGCGCATTGTGTACCCATCCAAGAATCCCGAACGCAGAGAAGTAGCGATTTCTAGAAAAGGGAAACATCGCAAGTAGTCAAACAGGAACAAATCTGCCTATTGGCTACGGCCGTTAGGCCTCCCCCTCCAACACAGTAAACCATGAGACCATAGAAGTCGTAATTAGGATAAAATAAAACAAAACTATGAGTAATGTTATTCTTGGGTTAGTGCTTAATGATGGGTAGTACAGTGTAGTGTTAGTAGGACGTCACCCAAGTCGCGTAGAGTCAGACCGTTAGCAGTGATTGCGGTTAGGTCCTTCTCAATTACAGACAAAACTCAATTATAGAGATTTTTAGGAAGTTTAAATTATATCCATGATTACTATCCTAACCTTGCTACAGATGCAGCTATTTTATATTCTTGACTTCGAAAAAATCCTCCTCCATGGGGTCCCGAACATACAGAAGCTGTTCAGAAGATTAAGGCTAGAGTTAAAACTCCACCCTGTCTTTCTTTACCAAATCCAACATGGAAAAAAATTGTAGAAACTGATGCCTCTAACTTAGGTTATGGCGGCATACTTAAACAATTTAATCCCAACAGTAAAAAGGAAGAACTTTTAAGATTTACTTCTGGTATTTGGCATCAAGTTGCAAAAAATTATCCTACAATTAAACAAGAATGTTTAGCTATTGTTAAATGTGTCTTAAAATTCCAGGATGATTTACTAAATCAACATTTTTTAATATTAGAATAATTTACTGAGATTTTATTGAGTAATTTACCGTTAAATACTGAGATGTAATTTATTGAGATTTTATTGAGTAATTTACTATTAAATTATGAAAAATTTACTTCGAATTTTCTAAATAATTGAGGATTTACTAGGAATTTACTGAGTAATTAATTGAGAATTTACCGAATAATTTACTGAGAGCTCGAGCGAAAGAAAACTCGATCGAGCGAAGAACTCAAATCCTCAGGTCTGTAATCAGACTCACGCTCGAGCGAAGGAACCATCGCTCGAGCGAAGAACAAACTAACTCGCTCGAGCGAAGAAAATCTCGCTCGAGCCAAGAATGCAGAGCTACAGGTCAATACTGGACGCCATCTCTCGCTCGAGCGACCAACTCCTCGCTCGAGCGAAGAACCAAAATCCTGGACAGCAACACTTGGTTTCTAAACCCAACCAACCTGAAACAAACCTGCCCAACACATCCTATAATTCCAAATGAGAAAATAAAGGACAACAACAACAATTATACAATGACAGAATCTACGGAACCTAAGTCTGGATACAATAATCAAATGGGAAAAGACCGGGGTCGCTATACCCATTTTCCTTTTCCCCTTTGCCTGGACAGTACTCCATCCTGGATCAGGGTTGTTTTCAGTGTCTTTCTGGAGGTTAACTAGCTTAGCCACCTGGGTAGTCACACACTTTGTTGTGTCATGCCCAAAAACCAAACAGTGCTCACATTTAGATAGTAAACCCTGGTACTCCACCTTAACAGTCACTTGTTTTTCACCACATTTAACTGGGAAAGAAGGAGGTTGTTTGGCACTAGCATCCACTTC